TTTAAACGTTAAAAAATTTTTGCGCAGGGATTCCTTTATGCAAACGCTATTTTTTAATTTTGTTTTGCTCAAAACTGAAAATCGGACAAAATTATTTAATTAAAATTCTTAAATTCGTTGTATCTCAACGTATATCAATGTAAATCAAGCGTAGGTACTCTCAGAATTACTTCTGTTTAATGTTTTACCTCGCTGAGCTGTCAATCTGACTGAACTCTATGTCCGTAAATTATTCTAAGTTCCTTCAATGTAATTAAATCGAAATCCGAAATTTTTCTAAGTATCCGGATTCTTAAAAAATTTTGCGCAGAGGTTTGTTTCGGCCTAAGCCCTTTTTACTTTTTAATCAGTTCAAATATGCAATGAAAAATTTTTCGACGTACGAAAATATTCTAAGTTTTTTAATTTTTGAAAAAATTTGCGCAGAGATCTGTTTCGGCCTAAGCCCTTTTCAATTTTTAAAACGTCTTTTCACTGACTTTACTTTAATTTTTTAATCAAACACTGACTTTACTTTAATTCGCGCTGATTCTACATACGCGATGTACTGTAATTACAACTCGTCCTCGTAATACGTGGATCGGAAGTAATACAATGCATAAAACTACTTTAATTCATTCGCGGTTATTTATTTTTAACACTTCTCAATGTCTCTGGCTTGTCAAACAATTCCGTAATGCAAAAACAATGTTCGCAAACGCTTCTACTTTATATTTCTGCCTTAGAATATTTTCGCGCAATAATTATACACTTTACATGAAAATCAGATATGCAATCATGCAAATACGCATGCAACAAATTTAATTGTACATGCAACGTCGGTTTTATCTCGCTCAGAAATAAATTCTTTTAATTACAAGCACATCTTTATGCCGTTTATCAATCAATCCTCAAATATCTGTATGACTCTATCTTTCAATACTTTATTCGCGTTGTTAATCTAACAATTCGCGTTCCCGGAATAATACGTAATATTTAATCAATCAATTTACAAGATTTCGCGTACGAATCTCGTTTCCGTCCTTCCGTCGGACAATGCTAACAACTCAATATATCAGAGTGATATGTGACAATAAATTCACGAACGGATTCGTTCTCGTTTTCCGTCGGACAATGAAAATAATTAATTTCATTAATTAGACAAGGCACTCACGTACGAGTCCTGTCACGGTCGCCAGAGATTGAGGTTTTCAGGCGTTTTAATTTCTGCTGACTGAATTTATCAAATTACTTCTCAATTTCCGGCGTATTTTTATTTTAGACGAGAAAATTATTAATTTCCGATCTATGTACTCTGTAACCGGACTTTTCGGCTATCGGACAACGAATCACGAAGCCCTCAATTCACGCAGGCCCTTCTGGCTCGTCTTTTCGTGATTCTTGCTAATTTTACTTTATTTTAATAATGAAAACTTTAATAGGCGAGTACCGACTTTGACAAATATAAAACCGTGAATGTTTCAATGTAAATTTCTTACTTTATTCGGTCGCCACCTTGTTTGACCTCAAGAACAAGGAAGGTTGAATGCTCAGGAAGCTGCCATCGGACGTCCTTCCTTCAGGCACGCTGCTCGATCTCACGACTTCCTGTCTCACGGAAAGCGATGTGTGTGATGCGCAAGGCATGCAGGAACGAAGCAGGATCATTAATCGGGTGAACGCGCTTTTGATTTTATCAAATAATGTTTAATTAAAGAACGATTATAAGACATACGCGCACTCGTTCACTCGCTCTGCATTCATTCGATTTGTCGGAATTGCGAACGCGACGCGTTTCGCGGACCACGCGCGTTACAAGCAATTCGCGACGGTGTGCAAACGAAATCGGAACCACGATTGCTCAAGCGGACTCAACGAAATCGCTCGCGATAAAAGAAAATTCGCTTCCGGATAATTTAACCCGACGCTCTGCAATTTATGCTTTTACGGCTGTCGGAAATAACGAGATTTACCAGATTACGGTGAACCCGACTCGTTTAATTAACACCTTGAACGGTCTTCGCGTTTACGCGGAATTATTCGCGTCGCTTTATCGCGTATCGCGTACTTATAAGAATTAACGACGGCGGTTTTATCACGCGGCCGGGACTTCGTCAGACTCATCGGAGAGTCGAGAGACAAATGACCCCGAGGAAGGCGCGAAACTTCCGGACGTGCCCGGGTAGTAACGCTCCTCCCTCGGAGAGAGAGCATGGCCGTCCTCATCGGCCAATCAAATAAATGTTCCATTAAATCGCGGGATCCGCCCTTCTTCAGGCGCGGATATTACTACGCGCGTCGCGATGACGTCGCGTCTGACTTTACGCGCTCGGCGTTACTCGCTCAGTAGAGCGAACGACTCGAAGTCCCGACGTTCTTCACACGGGCTCTCTCGAGTATCAAAGGATCGTATGTCCCATAGTTACCTCCCGAGTGGCTTTATCATACCGACTCGGAGTTACCATCGAAATGTGGTGATTATCCTTCGAGAGACCGCGTATTATCCCCGGAGCGCCGTCACGACCTCCTGGGTGATGAATTGTGGCGGATTGTGAGAGAAACTTTTACAATGTCTTTTAACACGCGGAATTGTGACGAAATGTGGTACATTCGTATAAAACAAACTAAAATTAATGTCAATGAATTATATTGTGACAAATTGTGGTAGAAACCACTGAAAATGATACTGATTATCAGTCTTCGCGTGAAATGTGGTAAAAACTTATCTAATGCTTAATCAACGTATCCCTCACTGAAATAAAAGTGGTAAAATGAATTGAATCGAACTTATATCATCTAATAATGCACTATTTGTAATTAACTAATGTTAATTTCTTATTGTCAGGTAACCCGTCGGCTCTATTTTAGTAAAACTTATAAGGTGAGTATTTAACTCGTAAAATTGTGACTCAAACTGATTTTAATCGCTTTTTCTCTATGTTTCAGGTACCCGTAAGTGGTTTGCTGCGGAATTGTGGTAATTATCGTCGCAGGTAAGTATATCTTTTATAAATTGTGATCAATCTTTATCTTAACGCATTTTTTTTTTTTTTTTATTCGCTTTTCGCGTGCGTAACACATAATTCGACTAGAATCGAACGAATATAATAAAATCTCGCGCTTATTCATTCTCATTCAGTGCGCTTACAAAATTATAATAAAAGTGGTAATACATAAATCTCTTGAGCCTAGATTTCAAAATACATTTGAAAGAAAACATCATTAGAATCATCGCAATATTTTGCGTAACATATAAAAATATACTCTTGAACATAACATCATAATAGTGACTTCACATGCAATCGCGCTGTTTTTCAAGCGTCTTTTCTAACACTAATATAATCAAGTCGTAGACTGTGGCTAACGCATAAGCCCCGATAAAACAAACTACAAATGTGGCTATCGACCACAAAGCACTTAACACTGACATTTTTACTCAAGTGTCTTTATAATGGCCTCCGTCTGCTGAAGGAGCTCTTCGCAGTTGACTGGTTGTGTGACGGGTTGCGCCACAATAGGCGCTATTATAGGCGCTCCCGCGCCAATCTCGATCTCCTTTACCAATTTTTCAATGTCCTCGGCACTGTCTCGACGCTCGATGTTGCCGCTTAATCCATTGCGTGTGTCGTCCGACGATATATCGTCGAACGTCTGTTCGGCTGCTCGTTGTGGCTCGTCCGCCGGTGTTGGGGTGACGTTTTCGCCTCAAACTGGAAGCGGGATCTGAAATGATTCCGGTTCCAAGGTTAGGTTGTAACCGGATTTTTCGGCTATCGGACAACGAATCACGAAGCCCTCAATTCACACAGGCCCTTCTGGCTCGTCTTTTCGTGATTCTTGCTAATTTTACTTTACTTTAATAATGAAAACTCTAATAGGCGAGTACCGACTTTGACAAATATAAAACCGTGTATGTTTCAATGTAAATTTCTTACTTTATTCGGTCGCCACCTTGTTTGACCTCAGGAACAAGGAAGGTTGAATGCTCAGGAAGCTGCCGTCGGACGTCCTT